GCTTTTCCAGAAATACTATGCTGCTCCCGTTTGGGCAAAAGTCTTTTTCCAAAAGACTTTTGCACAAAAGGGCCAGTGGAAACAGCACAGTAGTGTTTTCTGCAAAAAAGCCCCGATCGCGAAAATGGCGAGCGGGGTTTTTTTGTGGCACCCTATCATTCTAGGCGTGCTTTGCCGAAAATGCTTTTAATGGAAAACTTTTCCATTAAAAGCATTTTCGGAAAATCATGCCAGTCTAGATGTAGCCAAGCTGAATAAACTTCCTTCTAGGGACTCAGATTACAGGGGTCTCTAAATACAAAAAAATACTAAATGTCATGTTTTGATAATGCTAAGGAGCTTCTTAAACTTGACATACCTTAGGGCCTCAGTATGTCTTAATCCAGCCCTGTGTGTCCCCATTATTAGTATTATTTAGGAAAAAAAAATTAGTATAAAACATAGAAGGAAAGATTGAGAGATATGTGTTTTAAAAACTGTTAAAATATTAATAAACATATAAAGGAAATGCAATGATTTCATAAATTTATATCCTAGTTTGATTGTTTCTAATAAAAAATTTGTTTCAGATCACTTTATAAAAGTCACAAAATCTGTTTTACGTTTTTTGTATTTTAAATTGATTACATGATCAAAATGGATCATAGCTCCATAATCTATTTTCTGCTTATCTTAGGAAGTCTAGAATTCCCTAAATAAAATTCTGTTTCCAAATACAGTATTTGTAATTTTTACTGAGAAAGATGAGTGCAGTTTATTTGAAGAGTTTATTGAGCTGAGGATATTTAGCACATGCACAGGAAGATTTCATTGTAACAGACACTTATATCAATTCACAGCATAAGCCCCACCAGCAACATTGATATAACATACTTGGTCTGACTGAAAAGCATAAGGCAAGGACATTAAATATTGGGTCCTCTCATGGTAGACTTAATTCACTCATTTACAAGATGTGTGTGTTATGCCTACAATTAAGAATCGAACTGTGGATCGCACACCACATAAGACAACATGAGGCCATATTGTACTTTCATACATATTCATGTGTAACCAACCCATACACTTACTGCGTGTGATTCACTGACCCATGTAGTGACATTTAGACCATTTGTAACTGTAGAGGCTCATGCACTAAGCCCCAAAGGTCCCAGGTTTGGTTCTGCCTGTGGGCCTTACACATGGACTTCATGTACATTTAAATAGGGCCACATGTGCATACTAGACATCCATTTTTAGTAATCATAATATCTAGCTCTAAAATAGTGTATTTCATCCAGAAAATTCAAAGCATTAATCAGAGGAGGTCAGTATCATTGTCTCCATTTTACAGATAGGGAAATGGAGGGAGAAATTAAGTTACTTTTCCATGTTTACCCATCAAGCAAGAGGTAAGGCTGGAAATAGAACCAAAGTTTTATTTATTGCCGTCCATTACACTACTCTGCTTCCCCTTACTTAGGAACCATTAGAATTGCAACATTACAAGAAAGTTATGATTGAATGTAAATGTACTGGCTTTTGTAGGCTTAAAGCAAGTTTAAAGCTCATACCCCAGCAGCTATAATTCTTACTTTTCATTCCAGGAAATTTCCTATCTCTGATTATAAATTATGAAAAAAATCTGACTTTTTGGATCTGCAGTAATGACCCCTACATTTAAAGACACTAAATTCATTCCTCATATGAGAATATTTTCCAGTTCAAATGATGGCTAGTAAAGAGTCATGTATCGGAAGCAGAAGACTAACTTTCTTTCAAATATCTTTTCCCAAGCCTGCCACCTGTCCCACATATATGAGAAGGGGACAAGAGAATCTATCACTCCTTATTCATTGCTTATTTCAAAGCTGAAATTGAATAAACACCAGAATTCAACATGATAAAGAATAAACAGCCTCTTTGTACATAGATTGCTTAGAGGCTTCCAAACTATATTACCATGCACTTTTTCATAACATCCTAGAAATTTAAAGATGCAAAAGACTTAAGGTCAACCACTCCATCTCCCTGCTGAAGCAGGATTGTTCCCTGAATTTTTCATTCTTTTAAATGTCTCAAACAATGTGGCTTCTATCATTGCTTCCCTGAAGAGACTATTTGATAACCTAATACATCAGCAGAAGAAAGATAATAGACTTAAAAAAAAAGAGTTTAACAGACTTAGAGAACTGGTAGATAAGGTCCCATAGGAAGAAAATCTAAAAGGGAAAAAGAATTCTGAGAGTTTTCAAGGGTACACTATTAAAGGCACAATTGCAAGCTATGCCAATGTGAGGGAAAGATAGGCAATAATAGTAAAAGGCCAATATGGCTACTTAGCAAAGTCTTTAATCTGAAAATTAAAAAGTGCAAATATAGATTAATTGCTAAGGAGTACAAAAGAATAGCACAAGCATATAGGAAAGTCAGAAAGGCTAATGCACAATATGAGCTACGCTAGTAAGGGACATAAATGTCAGTAAGAAGAGGGTTTTTAATACATAAGGAGGAAAAGAAAGACAAAGGAAAGTGTAAGTCCTCAACTTCATGGGAAAAGGGAGTTAATAAGTAGTGACATCAGGATAGCTCAGGTGCCTACTGCCTATTTTGCTTCGGTCTTCACTAATGAGCTTAACTATAACTAGCTACTCAACCCAATATTAACAACACTGAGGGTATGTCTACACTACAGAGGTTTTTTTTTAAGAAAAATGGCTGTTCTTCAGAAAAAACGTCTGTTTTTCAGAAAAAAGTCAAGTAAGTTCACACTGCAATCACATTTTTTTTTTTAAAGAAAATTGAAATAACAGAGGGGATTTTCTGACATTGGTAAACCTCTTTCTATGAGGAAGAAGCCTTTTTCCAAAAGAGCTCTTTTGGAAAAAAGCATGCATGGACAGGGAAGAAGGAGGTCTTTCGAAAGAAGAAGAAAGAGGAAAAAATGCAGGTGCTCTAGTGTCCACTCCATCCATAGTAATCACAGCTTAAATGTGAGATAGCATCCATTCAGTGTGGATGCTTCTTTCAAAAAAGCAGATCACTTTTTTGATGAGCTTTGGCAATGTGCAGGCACTATTTCAGGGTATGGCTACACTAGCCACCCTAGTTTGAACTAGGGTGGCTAATGTAGTCATTCGAACTTGTAAATGAAGCCCGGGATTTAAATATCCTGGGCTTCATTTGCATGTTCCTGGGCACTGCCATTTTTAAATGCCTGGTAGTTCGAACTACCTGCCCACGGCTACACGCGGCTCAGGCTAGGTAGTTCGAATTAACACTCTTAATTCGAACTACCATTACTCCTCATTGAAGATCTCTTCTGGAAAAGCTTCTTCTGAAAGAAGCCTGCAGTCTAGACATAGCCTGAGGATAGAACTCTTCCCTCTCTCCTTTTAATTTGCAGGGCCTGATGACATTAATCTGAGCAGGCTTAAGGAACTAGCTGAAGTAATTATGAAACCTTAAGCAATTATGTTTGATAACTCTAGAAGGAAGGGTGAGGACCCAGAGTACCGAAAAAGGGCAGACATAGTAGCGATTTTTTTAAAAGGGGTGACAAAAAAGATGAATTGCAGAGCAGCCGGCTTTACTTCAATACCTAGAAAAATATAGGAACAAATTAAACAATGATTTTGAAGCACGTGGAGGATAATAGGGTTACAAAGAAAAGACATCATGGATTTGTTAAAAAAAAAAAGTCAAACCAACCCAACCTAATTGTCTTATTTGACAGGTCTGTTAGCCTAATGGATAAGAGGGAAGCAATAAGAATGATAATTGTTGATTTTAGTAAGGTTTTGTCACAGTTGCACATGACTAGTTCTCAATTTGTGTATCTTTTTTTCTGGAAGAACTGTGTAATCTAGACACAGCCACAGTAGTAGTATGGTTTGGCAAATGAGGAGTATAACTCCAGTCCTGAAAAGCACTAGGTTCTATGACTGCAAACCATTTGACTAGGATTTTTCACTATGCTTGTCTCAGCACAACACATCCCTATTTTTTTTTTTTTTAGCAAATTCAAAACAATCCTTGGAGATGTGTGTTTTTAAGCCATTGTTAACAACATCAGGGAAATTTTAGTGAGTATCCTGTGCAGCCCAATAGTGTGATTGTACTGGAATCACCACAATGCCTGCTGCTATTTAGTTTTATTTACAACTGATAGCACCCTTAAAGTTAAGGTGGTTTAAAATGGCAATATGGCTTAGTGGATAGAACACTGGAATGGAATTCAGGAAAGACGAGTCTTGTTCCCATTTCTATCTCTTCCCATATCTGTGCATCTGTTTCTCTGAAAAGTCAAGATGATGTTGCCTTCTTTGTGAAGTGCTTTGAGATCCACTGATGGTAAACTAGTATTAAAAAATGAGGGACAGAAACAATGAGTCAAAGTGACCATTAAGATCACTCAGTTATTACTCTGCTCAAATGCAGGAGGAACTGTATGGAATTTTTTAAAAAAATTTGTAGTCTTGATATGTAGTGGCGTATAAGGTGTTGAACACTCATGAGAGTGTACTTAGTGCACCTCCAGCCCTTTGACTTTGTGTTATTTATGGATGTGGGCATCTCATGAGATTGAGACAGCACATCTTCCCCCTCCCTAACTTGCTCAACTTACTGTGGAGCTGAGGTACTCATTCTTCTACAGTCTCATTTCTTTCCACGTGTATCAATCAGAACTAATGATTAATCTATTCTACACAAGCATTTTTCAGGTTCAGCAAGAAAGCATTAAATCTCTAATAATTTTATTTTTAATTAGGAAATAGCTTAATGAAACATCACATGTGTGTGCAGATGTACACACATGTAATTCCCATTGAGATCTCTGAAAAAAGGACTACATGCTATAGTAACAGGGAAGAGGGAGCTGTGATAGGCCCTACAGCATAGTGCTAGCAGCAATACTACAATTATCTGCTAGTTGAAATTGATCCACTCTCTTTCTCTCTGGTAACAGTCCCCATTTCTGTACACTCAATTTTAACTTCACATTTAATTTTCATTTGCAGAAAGCAGGGTATAAACCAGAATGGGTGGATTTGTGTGGAGCTCATATTGAATGGACTAAAGAGAAATCTAGTAGAAAGAATGTCTTTCAGGTAAGAAACAATTTGTTCATTCCATTCTCCCTTTAAGGTGAAGAGCTAGGTTTCATTTCCTTGTTTAGATATTTTAGTAACTACAGCTTCCTTTAATACAACACTTGCTTCTTAAACAAATTTAAAATCATAACATTTTATCCAGATTCAGTTTACTATTTTTTCTAGGCTAAAGAGCCCTGATGATTGACTCTACTAAAAACACTTGAAAACCTGTTGATGTATTGATTAATGTTCTATATTCAATTTGTTTTTAAAACTTAGCAGGTAATTGCTTTGGGTTTAAGCCCAGAATCCTTCACCTAAAGAACTTCCATAAACAGAACTTTCTCAAATTGCTTACTTAAGCTCTGATCCAACTGAGAGTGGTTAAGCTGTTTATTTTTATTTCTGCTCATGGCTGCAGTGACCGAGGTTCATTCCTGAGTGGGAAGGGCTGGAAGAAGAAGAACTTTGCATCCATTAGAGCCAATTCAGAAGTTTATATGTTTCTCATATGCTAATCATTTTATTTGATGGAAAACAATGTTGCTTAATTTTTTTCATCAATATGCCATTTCACTGAATGGCATGATAAATGCTTTTCAATGACAAGAAAGGCATTATTCTAGGGTTGAAATTCTAGGTTCTGGATGCTAAAAAAAAAGGTTATTATAACTGTTCCACTGTAGGGACCCAGTCCAACACCCATTGAAATAAACAGAAATGCTTTTTTTGATGTCATGGGAGCTGAATCGAGCGCTATAACGATATTTTTTCCATCCAAGTTTTTGGAATTTTACATAGGGCTTCAGAAGGGAGAATTTAACAGTGAGAAGTGTCCTTTCTTCAGTTGTTATTTATAAACAAATTTATTTTAGTAATTCAAGGAGTATACTTCTAATTCATGCCTTGGTTTACAGTAAAGTAAAGTTTATATTGTGTGACTTTGATAAATATGGTGGTCAATTAACAGTAGCTTTACAAAGGAGATGCCTCTATATGTACGTAGTGAAAGGGTAAAATTGTGTTTAATATTTTATTTCATCAACTTGATCACAACTTGAAATGCAGATCTCATCTACACAGAACAGGCACTCAAGACTTTTTTTTTGCAATACTCTCCTATTTGGTGGAAGAACAAGTGGAGAGATGAGCAAGGAGTAGTACAAGAGAAATGTAACACAAATTATTTCAGACCTCACAATAAGGCCTGAACTTTGGGTAAAGTTTAAGGTCTTATCATCCCCAAACCTATTCACGCTTCCTTGTTCTCCCGCTTAGAGGGTCATTGTCCCTTCATTCATCTCCCCTGGATCTCTCGGTCCTGCTCCCCATGCCAGCCATGAAGAGCTGTTTGTGCTGAGGAAGGTGCATCTTAGCATTTATATTTTCTGCCAGATGGAGTAAGAAACGGGCATGTTACTTAGCCAGGCTGCACGTGGCATCACTAGCAATGATTGAATTGCTTCCAAGTTAGGAGCAGGTGTGGATTCCATGTGGGAGAGAAGCTTAGTATGCTGTGTTAAGACCTTGGAGGACTGGATTATATTGGAATTTAGGTCTTTACAACAGTGTTTGAGTTCCAAAGAAGTGATGCTTCCATAAGTCAGCTTCAATGAGCTTTACTAGATTAGAAATCATCTCAAGGGATGAGCCTTTCTGCTCCTAGTCCTGCTCTATAGGCAAGACCCCTTTTTTAGAGCTAGCATAGTAGGCTTCTATGCCATCTATCCTACAGCTACTAGGATGATGGAATATAAAGTGGGTTTATAACATGGCTGGCATGTGCTAAGATCAAGATTTCTTCAGATGATTCAAATTCTCTTAGGGACTGTTGCCAGCTTGCAGGTGTTAGTGCAGTCACCAGGCAGCTTTTGCTTGCAACTCTGACTGGGTGGAACAAGGAATCAGGTATTGTAACTCGCTTCCTAAAATGGGATTCGTTCCCCACCTACCAGCTCTGGGTGGAACAGATCATTTGGACCCATTTTATCTAAATGTGTAAGCAGAATATTTCTGAAGGCACCTATAGGATATAAGACCACTGGAAGTTGGTAGGACATGTGCACCTCAGACCCTTACAGGCTTTTGCAACTATCCTCTTAATATCTGAGGGTATGTCTACACTACAGCACTAATTCGAACTAACTTAATTTGAATTAGTTAATTCGAACTAAGCTAATTCGAACTAGTGCATCCAGACCTAAAAACTAGTTCAAATTAGTGTTTTGCTAATTCGAACTAGCATGTCCACATTGAGTGGACCCTGAACCGAGGTTAAGGATGGCCGGAAGCAGTGCCGGCAGGGCATCAGGTTAGGACTTCGAGCATGGAGCTGCTGTCTCAGGCTAGTCGAGGGCTGTGCTTCAAGGGACCCGACCCCCACCCCGGACAGACAGTTCTCAGGGGTTCCCCGCTTGCTTGTCTAACTCGATGAGGCACAGCAAAGCAGTCCTGGCTTGGAGTGCCCTGAATACCAACACTCAGCACATCACAGCACTCGGCCCTCAGCCCGGCTGCACTTGCCGCAGGCTGCCATCCGGTGGGGGGTCAATCGGGGGGCTGCAGGAGAGCTTCCACCCCGAGGAGCCCACAGAGCCACACCAGTCCTCCCCATCGGGGGCTCTTGCCCTATTCTTCCCTCTGCTTCTTGCACTTCCCCTTCCCTAGCCCCCCTTCCGTCAGACCACTGAAGCTACTTTTCATCCTAGAAATCACAGCATGGATATTTCAAATTTATTTCCCTCTTCAGTGACCTCTGGTCTTATGATATGCTAGTAAATATGAGACAATATAAAAATGGAAGAGGAGACTGAGGGGGGATATGATAGAGGTATATAAAATCATGAGTGGTGTGGAGAGGGTGAATAAAGAAAAGTTCTTCATTAGTTCCCATAATATAAGGACTAGAGGATACCAAATTAAATTAATGGGCAGCAGGTTTAAAACTAATAAGTGAAAGTTCTTCTTCACACAGCACATAGTCAACCTGTGGAACTCCTTGCCACAGGAGGCTGTAAGGGCTAGAACTATAACAGAGTTTAAAGAGAAGTTAGATAAATTCATGGAGGTTGGGTCCATGGAGTGCTATTAGCCAGGGGATAGGAATGGTGTCCCTGGCCTCTGTTTGTGGAAGGCTGGAGATGGATGGCACGAGACAAATCGCTTGGTCATTGTTTTCGGTCCATCCCCTCCGGGGTACCTGGTGCTGGCTGCTGTCAGTAGACAGGCTACTGGGCTAGATGGACCTTTGGTCTGACCCAGTACGGCCATTCTTATGTTCTTATGTTCTAAGCTTAGGGTTGGGGGTCTCACTGGACCAACTTGATTTTCATGCAAACCTGCTCCTGAGTTCGCGTGTGGCCTTTGGTGGCCAGGCTGGCAGCTATCCTGCCCTAGATGGCCGCTTTCCTGTGCCTAGTGCAGAGATTGTGGACGTTGGAGGCCTCCCCCCAAACCTCGATGAGGTCCACAATCTCCGCACTAGACCAGGCGGGCACCCCCTTCTTGTGGCCCCGGGTAAGCTCCTGTGAGCTGCCAGCCTGGTCCTTGGAAAAGGCAGAGGGCTGGGTGGCAGCGGGTGGCTGGCTCATGCTGTGCCAGGTGCGGGGTCTGCTGGCTGGGTGCTGGCCAGCTTGCACCTGGCACGGGCACCGTAGCCAGCCTGTGCACCTTTAAGGACTCCGGGGTTAGTAGGGGGTCAGACGAGTTTCCCTGGTGGGGTGGAGGTAGTGAAGATGCTAGAATCATCCAGGCGGGTGGGAGGAGAGACAATATACAGGGGGTCATCGGAGTTCCGGTGACTGGCAACAGCCACATGGGTGGGTTACTTGGGTGAGCAGCTGGGGTTGTTCCCATTTTCCCATTGGGAAATATGGTCACCTTAGTTGCAAGTGACTGAAGGATAATAGAGACTGAATAGCTAGTTTCTAATAACAAAGTCTATCAGGGCTCAACCCTGCAAACATCTGTGAATGTGAATATAAAATTTGACTTTCTGAGGCTTGACAATTCATGGACACAGTGTATTGGTAGGGTGAACAACTCCACTTTGCTCTCATTCTTCAGTTCTATCTCCCTAGAAATGCCAAGCTTTGCAAACCTTACACATCAGAAGAGCTAATAGAGACCACTGAAATATTTGTATCAGCATAGAGAAAATAAGTACTCTTTAATGGTTTCAGAATAACAACTAAGTGGGAGAGAAATTAGAGATTAGAGATGGCAAGAGTTGTTTGTACCAACAATGGTGACATTTCAACTGACAGGACTGGTGCTAGATGGGTAGAAAGAGTAGAAAGGGGGAGTAAAGAAAGAGTCCAAGACGGAAGGTGGTGTATACTTGTTGCTGAATACTTCAGAAACACTCTTCATGTTTTATTCATTTAAAATATAGAGCCACCCTTTGAATCTACTTATTCATCGTTCTGTTGGAATGAAAAGAATCTGAAAGGATTTTCTGGAAAACTAAATCTAGACGGTTTGCACTACTATTTGATTACCTACATTAGATGGCCTATTTTGAAATTATCATAATAAATATGATTGCATGTACAAAAGCACAGCAACAAAGCATGGTTGGTGGGTTTTTGTTTCATTACATAGTGAACAATAAAGCATTCATTCTTGACTAAAACAGAGCAATGTTGGTTTCTGCTCACGTATTCTATCATAACTGGCTAAAAAATTCTGAGTTTGATTTACCCTGGATGCTCGGTCTAAGACCAAGCATTATAGTTCACAAACAGAAAATGACTACAGGCAGTCCCTGGGTTACATGGATCAGACTTACATCAGTTCCCTACTTACAAATGGGGTGAGGCAACCCCCCCCCCCCCCCCAGCAGACCAGGGAGACGCGGAGCGGCTTTTCTCAGCAGACACCTCAGCTTGAGAATAAAGGACTGAGGGAAGTGAGGTGTGGGAGAATAAAACTGAGCTCTGGAGAAATGTTTGGCTAGAGTTTCCCCTACAATATGTACCAGTTCCGTCTTACATACAAATTCAACTTAAGAACAA